AGGGCAACTCTGGCTTGAATAAGTATGACCTGAGAGGCATAAAAGGCACAGAACAGATGTTGAAACAGGCGGTAAGAGATGAGGTGGAATTGCCTGAGGGAGCTCCACAGGACCTGTGTAATCAGCCTTAGCTGTAAGGCATGGACACACGTGTTTAAGTCTCTGCCCTACTAATGAAGATTCAGCTTCCTCACCCTTCAATTGGGAGGATCATACCCACCTCCATGGTAGATGAAATGAGAAGATAAATGAGGTAACATCCTTAAAATGCCTAGCACATTGGAGTCCTTTATGGAAGTTGGTTTCCTTTTCCTATTAGTGAAGGGTAGTGGTGACAATGAGATACCCCTATGCACCCACTGGAATGACAAAAATTTCAAAAACTGACAATATCAATTGTGGTGAGGATGCACTACATCTGTAACTCTTATACATTGTTGATGGAAGTGTAAATTGCTTTGGTTTTGGAAAACTGTTCGACAGTATCCACTAAAGCCAAACCTACATTCACCTTATGACTCTACAATCCCACTCCTGGGTATATACCCCCAACATAAATGACTGCTATGTCCACCAAAGAACACGTACACCAATGTTAATTGTGGATTTTCCCATAACAGCCCATAATTTCAAAAACCTAATTATCCAACAACACAGAATGGTCACATAAACTGTAGTACAGTTATGTGTCACTTAACAATGGGGATACGTTCTGAGAAATGCATCGTTAGGTGATTTCATTGTGTGGGAACATGATTCATTGGTGGTAGCAAAACCTGAGAGAGTCATTCTCATTGGTATTGTGTTTAAAATAACCTGAGGTGTTTGTTCAAAATGCTGATTCCTAGCCCTGCCCCATCTCCAAGGTTCTGACTCAGTAGCTATGAGAAGAGCCTCAGGAATGTCGTTTTGTACAAGTACTCCCAGCAGATTTGAATGTGAGCAGCCTACAAACAAATTCTGAAATACACTGACCTAGGGGAGGATATATTCTTTATTGTGTGCAGAAAAACTCTGCAACTGCCATCAAAAGTCTTTTTACAAACAAATATAAAGAAGACAGTGATACTGAACCTCTTCATTTCAAGTGCATGTGCCTCATGTGCAGTAAGCCAATCACTGAGACATGGATGCTTGGAGATGGAGAAAGGTTTATTCAAATTGGCCAAAATGAGAAGGTGGCAGGATAGGTTCTCTCAAATCCACCTGGGGGTTTATAGAGCTAAGGGGGTCAGCAGGAGGAGTTTAGAGAAACAAAGGAGTAATCTACAACTTGCTTGAAGGAATACTATTTCTTCTGTAAATCAAGCTCATAAATCCTTGTGACCCTTGAGTCACACCTCGGGTTAAATAAGAAAAGAGCAAATTGACAGGATTAACTTCTTTTCATAACAAGGTGCAAAGGTAATCTTGTTGAATATTTCCAGTAACCCTCAGGTACCTGGCTTCAATCCCCAGTGTCTTTTTTCCCTTCCTCATTCATGTAGGAAGCAGGACATCACAATGTGGCTACTTCCTGCTGAAAGGGGGAGAAGATAGAGAAACTGAGGAGGGAAATTTTTCAGCCTGAGATTGAAAATACTCTCGGGTACTGGGTGATATTTTGCATTATTAGAATTTTTACACCTTGTTCAACAGTTTTACTACAACATCTAAAACCACATTTTATCATCAAATATCCAGCCAGAAGGATAAGAAGTATAGACAACCCCAAATTTTAATAGTGCCTGAAAAATGGATCTAACCCTTGGGGAATCCAAGAGAAGAGTCCTGAAAACCAGTCTAGACATTATAAACCAGAATTATCAAGGTGTCCTCATGGCCATGCACTGAATAGGTTTTGGGATGACATATTCAACCTCTAGAAAGATTACTTGCTTCTGCCAACATCTGAGAAATTCTAATAATCCAATTGTTCTTCCATCTTTGGGGGTCAAATTCAACAAGGAAGCACAATAGCCAGTTTACAGATAGAATATAAATTCCTCAAAGACAATTTACAGAACTAGAATCTAATATCCACAAATGTGTTATAGATTCTACTGAAACTTAATTTTTCTCTCTAAAATCACTCTCATTTTTACCAAAGATAGCCAAATTAAGACTAATTTGTTGGCTTGGCCTAATTATTTACATAAGTACAGCCAGAATAGCAATTGATCATATAGGCTCTTTTAATTCTGCTTTGTTGCAACTTTTTATAAGGACTCTCAGATTGAACTTTAAAGGCCTCTCGAGGCCAGGCCAACCCAAGGACTTGTCATCAGACTCCCCCTGCAATACCTATATATTTGGGTGAATTCTTCTCTTCTCTTGAGGTTCTCCAAAATATCCTCAGGTTCTTTGCACTTGCCAGGGAAGTGACCTTCTTTACCCACCTGGTAAGGGTTCTGGGAACTCTGTAAGCAAGGTGTCAGGCCAATATCTCCAAGTGGCTTTATTTCATAAAGTCAATATTTTTTCCTTAGGTGTGTGGTCGTATCTGAGTCTGCATGTTTCTCTCAAATATGACATTCCAGTCAAAGCTTTGGTAGTATAACCAATGTTTCCAATTGTGTCCCGTTATAAGGAGAACAGATTCTTATTGAGCTTTTACAATAACTGTATTGTCATGAAAATAAAAATATTCAAGTAAATCACTAAGAGTTTCTAAATTTTGGAGGGATCACATAGGGAGAAAAAGATAAATGTTTCAATTCTACTTACAAAGGTATAATTTACCAAACTGCTGAGTCATAGTTACCTCAAGAGAAAAGAGAAGACGTTTTCCTTAAATATGAGAAAACAAGACGTGAAAAAATCAGCAATACTTCAAATGAAAAATTATAATAATTATAATCATCCTCATCAGTTCATTTAGTGCCATGTGATCAACTCTTGATCTTTTGTTAGCAGTTTCATGAAGTCATGTTTTTGCTTTAGAGTTCTATAATTTCTTACCCAGTTCAGTTTTATGATCTGAAAGTTTATCAGAAATCTGTATTGTAGAGTATGTGTCTGAGTCCTTTCTGTGAATCTCTCTGGAGATGAAACATACTTGCAAAGGCAGAACTAGAATTATGACTGACAACAAGGACAGATCAGAATTTTAGGAATGTTATATAATTTTTACAATACTTATATCAATAACATTTACCCACATAATATTGTGGGTCCCTATGAAACAATGCCTGGTTATTCATTTAACCATGGTAACAATTAAAGATTTTCAGGTAAATGCAGAAAAGTAAATAACAGTAAGAAAAACCTTAGCACATGTGATTAAAGACCTGATAAAAACAATACAGGAAATTTATTTTGATAAAACATAAAATCTGTACCCTTGTGGTAGACTACTCAAAGAAAAATCTTCCATAATCTCTTTATCAAGAGCAGACTAAAAGTTTAAGAAAATTATTCATTCACTTAGTGGTATTCATTTTAATTTTAGCCAACTTGACCATGTACAAAATTCTTTTCCTGGAATTTTTCTTCCATAAACCTTCTATAACCCTTTTACTGGCGAGGAAGATTAACCCTGACCTAACATCTGTTTTCAATCCTCCTCTTTTTGCTGAGGAATATTGGCCCTGGGCTAATATCCATGCCCATCTTCCTCTACTTTATATGTGGGACCCCTGACACAGAGTGGTTTGATAAGCAGTGCATAGATCTGTGGCTGCCGGGATCCAAAAATGCAAACCCAGCTCTGCCAAAGCAGAGCTCGTGAACTTAACCACTATGCCATCCGGCCAGCCACTATAACCTTTTTTAACAGACAAAAACATCTTTATTTCTTATACCCTTTTTACTCAAAACATACATCATACTTTCTGATAACTTTGTGGACATGCCTATTTCAATCAAACCAAAAAACTTAAACAAGCTTTCATTTACCAAAGATTATTTTATGTCATGCCAACTTGAAAGACATTTGGGTTAGTTTCTATTACATTAAACTAATTAAATAGAGCTCTTAATTTTGGCCATACCATCCAGGGGTAGGAAAATGTCTCACATTGTATAGGGTCAGTCAACCCTATTGACTTCATTTAGCATGTTTAATTAACACTGTCTGAAGGGCAGAGGTATGTGTGGTTTTGCAATATCAATACTGGAGGAACATTTCCTCCAGTGAGACGCGATATTTATCCCCACAATACAATTTATAATACTATGATGCAAAAGAGATGTAATCACTAATTCCATCAACTCTTATGCCTCTAATCATAGTCTTCATTAGGACTTCTTCAACAAGTTTCGGTCTTATAATATTGGGTAGAGGAGGCATTCCCAGCCAGACATAACGTCCATTTTCAAAACACACTCAGGCAGAGTTGATATAACCTCTTTACATAAAATTAGCTCAAACATTCTAACCTTTATAATCTTATCAACACTTATACTTTACATTTTTTTCAATTTAATTGTTGCCTGAGTCAGGGTCTTAAGGCAAGTCACTATTTTTTTGTATTTCCTTTTTAATTTGGTCTTTTTATAGGTACCAATAAAACAATTATGATGAGAGCTCTCTAAAAATGTTTCAAATTTAGAAGTTTTTCCAATTTAAGGATCCATAGAGAATATTGTAGCCATGTGGTGTTATAAAAGAATATCATCTTTTGCCTTTTTCCTGAGCTAATAGCTAAAAGTTGCCCAATTTTGGAGACTGTAGCCCTGGTGCCTATGGGTGGGTCAAATTAGTGTTCCCCATAGCTGACTCACACATAAGACAAAATCTGACTCCTGCAGGAGAAAAACAGAAAGTGAAGTCCAACAATCCCTAGATGTCTCCCAAATGAGGGGCCTTCCTTTCAATCACACAAAATGCAAATGGAGAGACAGAGAATTGACGACAACACATGTTGTAGCGACTCACCCTCGGCCTTCACATAGGTGTCTATCCATCACTTGCCTTGGGAACAAACAGGCAGTCCTTAACCAAAGAATAACACACAGTTTTCAACAAATTCAATCTCTTAAGCATTTGTTAGATACTAGTTATATGCCCTCTACTGGCTTTTGTGTATATAGAACTCAATAACTCGATGTGCCCGCCCTCAGGGGGCTCACAGCCCCATCTCCTGAGAGCTGAGTGAAGGGGAAGCTCAGTACTTGTCAGGCAGGCCAGCAGGTCTGAAGTGATTGGGGTCTTTGCCACTCCGGCCCCATTCATTGGCAGCCTGGCCAGCCCTCGAGTCCACTCCGTGGCGGCTGTCTCCAAACTTGAAAAGGTCTGTGACTCTCTGAGAACCTTCTCTGGCATTGCTGGAATGGAGGAGGGCAGGAGATTAGTCTTGGGCTGGTGAGTAACAATACTACCCTCCCTGTCTCTCCTCTTTCCTAGGGATGGCCTGAGAGGAACCCAGGAGAGAGAGGCTGAAGCACTCAGCCTGCCTGGGCATGGCCCGCTGAGCCCTGCTGATGCCCCTGATGCTGGGTGAACAGCACCAAGAGTGGAGGGTTGGAATCACTCCTTAGGCAGCCCATTCTCTTTTTGGGGGGCAGACTCTCACATCTTCACCTGCCATACTCTGGCACTGCTGGCAGCCCTTCCCCTCACTGGGCACGGATGGAGAGGGTGGACAGGTTGGATGTGACGAAGAGACCATATCCCCCACAGGACCCTTCTCCAGGACTTGACCTCCTCAAAGGCAGCCAAGCTCTGAGCACCTACCCCTGCACCCCAGGACCCGAGTCACCTGATCACTTTAGCTGCCCAGGCGCCCCCGGGGCGCCTTTGTGCAGCGTCATAGTTCCCGTGGGCGTGGAAGTATTTGTTGGAATTTTTGAAATTGGCTTCTCTCATGTCAGAGTAGGCTCTCCACATGTCCCAAGTCCCTGGAATGGAAAGGACCTGGCAAAAGGGACTTGAGGTGAACAGAAAGACTGTGACACCCCTCAGAGAAGAATCAAGGAACGAAAAATCTTCCACTGACTCCATGTCAGCCTGAGGTCATAGCACCTCGGATACCTTAGGATGAGAAGAACGTTATTTAATCCCAGGTGGCTTCTCCAGGGCACTCTGATGAGAGTCAGTTAGGGGGGCACAGCATTGTTGTTGGTGGTCTAAGCCCTGTGATGTTATCTGTGTGCTCCATCTCACTTAGGGCTCTGTGTCATATGTTTAAAGGGGAAGGCAGGTATCATTATGGAACAGGATTTCTCAACTTCAGGACTATTGAAATTGTGGGTCAGATTATTGTTTGTTGATCAGGGCTGTCCTGAGTTGTAACATGTTTAGCAGCAGCCCTGACCCTTACCCACTAGATGCGGCAACGTGTTTCCCCTGTGTGACAACCAAACATATCTCCACACATTGCCAAATGTCCCCAGGGCACAAAATTGCTCCTGGTAAAGCACCACTGTTATATAGAATGAAGTGACATATGGTACTATCCAGGGGACGTGGGAGAGTGAGGTGGTGACATGGAAGACAGCTGTAGACATATGGCACGTCTGCCATGACACCTAAGGAAAATGAATTCTTGCAGACTGGAAGCACATAACTGTGACTTGAGTCCCTGGGAGTGCTAGGGGGGGTAAATGGCATCCTGAAAGCCTTCTAAATAGACTGTGCTGATGGTGTGGGTGCTTGAGGAGGCAAGCGCTAGAGCAGTGGTTCTTTTCCTCAGCCTTGGCTGCACTTTCTAATCCCCGGGGCAATACTGAAAGTCTGATGGGACTTCACACCCCAGGTCAGTTCCCTCACACTCTCTGGGAGCAGGTTGAGGCATTGGTAGCTTTAAGGCTCTCCAGGTGAATCCACCATGCAGCTGACTGACAACCACTCAACCCTAGGAAGTGGTCCTGAGACACGTCTACCTGGCGAGAGCCTTGGCCTCATGCACAGCTGGGTTCAAACCTCTGCTCTGCCACCTGCTGACTGGCAGCTGGTCCCTGGGCAACAGACTCGGCTGCTCTAAGCCTCAGCTTTCCCCCTTCAAACTGGGGGAAGATGCCTTCCTCACCACGAGATATTCTGCAGTTAACGTAGGCGACCAACCACCCCAGCTTGACCAGAACTGTCCGTGTTTGCCCAGAACTGTCCCAGTTAGCACTGAATGTGCCATGGAAAGCTCCTCAGACCTGAGCAGACCAGGAGAGTTGATCACCAACTTGCATGAAATTGCTGAGTTCCTAGTGGAGGCTTGATATGTGTTATTAGTTCTCTTTTCTTTTTTGTCTGTTAAAAGGCCAGAAAAGGGTAGGAAACAGAATAAGCCAGGGACAGTGTCACTGACTACAGGAAGCGTCAGCAAGAGCTAAGTGAAGGATTCTCTAAATTAGGAAACAGATGGAAGGAAGAGAGGAAGGAGGAAAGAGGAGAGTGAGGGAGAAAGGAAAGAACAAAGGAAGGAACAAGGGAAGGAATGAAGAAAGGAAGGAAAGAAGGAGAGACAGAAGGAAAGAGGGAGGAAGGAAGGAACAAAGGAAGGAATGAAGGAAGGATGGAGAGACAGAAGGAAGGAGTGAGGAAGGAAGGAAGAGAGGGAGGAAGAGGGGGAGAAGAAAGCAGGGAATGAAGGGAGGGAAGAATGGAGGTAGTGAGAAAGGAAGGGAGGGAGGAGGGAAAGAGGAAAGGAAGGGAAGGCAGCCAGAGGAGAGAGGGGGAGAGAAGAAGAAAAGATGGATAGCTTTAATCCATTTTATGCAATTTGGTCTGAGGAAATTTTATCCCACTTCAGGACTTATTTTGTGTCTTCCATTCAAACTTACCCTCAAGTGGGAACCACGATTGTTCTTTCTCTAGTAACTGATTGAAATAAGTCCTCTTGTTTTCAATCTGTTTGATGAAAAGCTCCTCAAACATCTGGCACATTCTCCCTCATAGGACAACACAACGTTAAGACAGCAGCTCCAACCCTTGAGAGTGCTCAGGGTGAGTCCTGGTGGCCCATGGATGCCATCCCTTCTCCATCAGCCTTACCTCGGGCAGCCTCACCAAGGAACGATAACCAGCTGTTGACTCCCAGGACCAAAGAGCAGAAAATGAGGCCTGTGAACAGCTTCATCCTGCTGCAATGAAAGGAGAGGGTCAAGGAGACTCGGACAAGACTGGGTACACCCCTGGGGTTTGTGTGTCAAAGAGAGCCTGGTTGTTGATTCCCATTTGTTCTCATGAGACTCTTAGTGTGTCATCTAGGAAACACTTCTGTGGGCCCTCACTCAGAGCCACAGCCCTGAGTTCTGAACCCATCAGCACCGAACCCAGGACAGTCTAAGTGGTCACCAATGTGGCCTTGATGGAGGAAGGAGGCAGTTAGGACCAAATTTCCCTCCCTAATGCCCCCTATAATTAATTAAAAACCATGTACCATGTGCACTCTGCCAGCAGAGACCTCACACAGGACAAATACAAAACAGAATAAGTATTTTTTAAAGGAAATGACGGTCTTCTTGGGAAAGAGAAAACAGACTGTGTTTTAAACAAATCACTCTTTGGCGTCATCCCTCACCTGTTTTCCGGTGAGCACAGTTGCTGGTCCCTGCCTCTGGGGACAGGTGGCTGGTATTCATAGTGAGCCTTCCCTGCTGGGAATAAATGCAGGTAGGTCAGTGGATTTCATGGTGCGAGCCCGTGGAATCTCATTTCTGAATGCTCCTATTTTTCGATGAAATAGGAAGCAAAGTTATTAACTGAGAGGAGGATGGAGGAGGAGGAGGTGTGGAAATTCCAGGAGAGAAGTGAAAAATGGTCATCTGGGAGAATGACAAAGTGAATGAACTTGGGAAGTGTAGCAGGATTGGGAGGCAGCTCAAGGTTATGAATTTAAAGTGAGACTAGTCACCGTGGTTGTGTACTCTTCTCTGACCACATTCAGTTGCCCAAGTGCAGACTTGAAGTAAGTGGGGAATTGGATATCACCACTCAATAAATACTTGTTGATTGTCAAGTGGATTAATACATGCAAAGGTCAGAGGAGGATCCACTTAATGTTGAGAGAGTGTCATAGGGTACAGGGAGAGAGTTCTCAGAGAGAGAGTGACTGAAGTACAACTAGGGCGTAACTTATACTCCAAGGTCCAAGGGCCCACAGGATGACTGGGGATGGGGTTGCCCTGAGAATAGTAGGAGCAGGTCTTTCTCTGATAAAGGAAGGAAAGGAGAGAGGATGAGGAGGATGGATTTTGAGATGGAGGATAGAGAACTGACAGAACCCAAGCACACCTGTCCTTCACCTGTCACAGGACTCATCACTGTCTACCTGTTGGCATTTCTGAGTTTGGCCCCACAGTGCACAAAACCTAGCGGTGGGAACTCTGTCTGACTTATTGACAGACATTCTGCTGTATGTTAACCCCTAGCACAGCTCCCCACATGTAACGGGTTCTCCATCATTTATTGATTGAATGAATCAATGAGTGAATGGAGGAGGAGAAGTAATCTGCAGAGTTTGGCAGAGGTAGTATGACGGTGGAGTTTGGAAGTTAACAAAAATGGAAAAGCATGAAATAATGATGTGCACCGTGTAGTATTAGTCATTTAGAAATGAACATGGACATTGTTTATATGTAGTAGAATCCAGCCTACCTGCAATGGTTGAACTTATTGTCAAAAACTATATCCAGAAAGCAAACACTAATTGCCACCTCTACGTACATCCTGCTATTTGGTACCATCATCTGGATTATTGTGGTGAATCCCTACCTGGCTACAATAAAGTGGACTTGACATGGGAAAGGGGAGTTTCAGCTTCTTGTAACAAGGCAAGGCAGAGACAAAGAGGAATACCCACCACAGAGCCTTCTTGCCCAGGGCTCGTTGGAGGCAGTACTGGAAGGGCAGGGAGAGAGTAGAGAGGGCTGAGACTGACCCATAGAGAAATTTGTTTATGTGAAGTAAAAGCAGGGACAGGACAACAGGGGTAAGGGAAGAAGTGGTTTAGGGTATGGTTAGTGACAGCAGGCTGGGATTATTTATTGCCTCGGCGCTGAGTATGGGGGGCTGTTCTGGGGAAGGGTGATACATATGAGCCAGTGGAAGTATCCGCCAAGCCCAAAATGACGGCAAAATGAAACAATGGGAATGCCTTTCTGATCTCCTCCCAAAGGTGCTGAAGTCCATTATTAACAGAAGTTCTAGAGAGAATGGAGGGACAAGGGACAAGGGAGGAGGACAGGGGAAAGAGAGGTTAATGAGGGTAGATAAGGTATACTGCCAACACAGGTTTGATATGTAAAACTTATAAACAAGAAGTGAGTTTTCACGCTGACACACAGCGTTCAAACTTGGAGGCAATAGGCCCAATGGGCCAGGTCTTTCTCCTTTTTGAGATCTCTAATTTCTGCAAAGAGGATCCAACTTTTCTCCTGGAAAATGGGTGCTTTGTTTATCTATGAATTCATCTTTTACTGAGTCACAGCCAGCTCGTTCTCTCTAACATGTACACCAGATCTCCTAGGAACGACTCTCTTTTACTCATTATAAAGCAATCCACCTTCAAACTCCATTGTGACGAAGAGTCGATATAGACTATGAATGGCTCACTCAAGGACTTGGCACCATCTGAATGGGGCGGATGAAATGCCCAGCAGAGTCCAGGCTGTGGTCAGGCTGGGGCTGTCCATGTGCCTCCCTGCTGAGCTCCTGCCCTCAGGACGGGGCTGGGTCTTGCCTCCATCTCTCCCCACAGCAGTTCCGTCAGTGGCGGAAGCTTTTTCTCACTGGCCATTACCTGTGAGTCCCCTCAGAGGACTGGGAGTCTCACTATTATTTATCAATACTTATACTTGTGGAAGGAGTGCAGGGAAAGGGAAGAGCCTCAAGCCACATGCCTGAGTTCAGATCCTGGCTTTGCCTCTCACTGGTTCTGTGACCCTGAGCAAGTGACTCAGTCTCTGTGCCCCAGTGTCCTCACCTGAAAATGATCTACATCCTAGAGTCCTTGTGATGCACTAAGAATAGTGGAAGTTCAAGAAATGTTAGCCGTTATGACTATTATTATTATTCCCATATTCTTCTGGCCAATCTTGGGAATCTCTAGTTTTTATTTTTTAACCAAAACATAATTAACATCTCACATGAAACTCAGCACGAGCTCTACTTTTCTTCTTTCACAAGGAGATAATGATGATAATAATCTTTAGAAAATTCCATATGCATAAGATGAACAAGTGATTCTTTTGTTGTCTTATCAAGGTAATACTAAACAGAACTGTTAAACACTCTCCTATCTGATATGGACATTATCTTAAATGACTGCAGAGTATTCTCTTTCAGGGCTCTGGCACACATTATTTAATAAATGCCCTCTCATTATGTCCCCTGGATACTAATCTATTATTACAAAAATTTGTTCTCATAAAACTTTTAAATTGATATATTACACATATTATAAAACTCATCCTTTAAAAGCGCACAGTTCAGTACACTTGAACACAGTTCGGTCTTTTAGTATATTCACAAGCTTGTGGGGTCTTCATCTCCACGTAATTCCAGGCATTTCCATCATCTCTGAAAGAACACTCATGCCCTTTAGCAGTCTCTCCCCACTCCCCCCCTTCCAGCCCCTGACAACCACTGATCTTCTTTCTGTCTCTTTGGATTTGTCACTTCTAGACATTTCATATAAATAGAATCATATAATGTGTGGCCTTTTGCGTCTGACTTCTTTTATTTAGCATAATGTTTTCAAGGTTTATCTGTGTTGTAGCCTGTATCAGTACTTCATTCCTTTTATGGCTGAATAATATCCCATTGTACGAATTTACCATATTTTGTTTAGATATTGCTGAGAAATGAACAGGAGACCGAGGTGGGAGTTGCTGGAGTGGGATTCCAGGGTCCACTCATCCCCCAGCCGTGTACCCTGTCCCAAGATAGAGACCACTGAGGAACAAAGCTAAGGAGGCTAAGACCCTGTGGGCAGAGAAGTGACAGGACACTGACAGGAGTGAGGAGGCCTGAACACGGAAGGACCTGGAAATAGCACCAATGTAACCAGAGGGGCCTGGAGAGGGGAGCGGGTCTGATTCAGGGGAGGGTTGGTGAGGGTGTCTGTCCTGTATGACACTGAGACTGCCTCCCCTACACCCACACCCACAGGCACAGGCTCGGCCTTCACGAGGGTGTCCATCCAACAACCCTAGGGAACAAACGGGAAATCCTTAGACAGAAGAATAACACACAGTTTTCAACAAATTCAAGCTCTTAAGCGTTTATTAGACACTAATTATGTGCCCTCTACTGGCTTTTGTGGACACAGAACTCAATAACTCGGTGTCCCTGCCCACAGGGGGCTCACAGCCCCGCCCCCCGAGAGCAGAGAGAAGGGGAAGCTCAGTACTTGTCAGGCAGGCCAGCAGGTCTGAAGTGATTGGGGTCTTTGCCACTCCGGCCCCATTCATTGGCAGCCTGGTCAGCCCTCGAGTCTGCCGCTCCGTGGCCGCTGTCTTCAGGCCTGAAAAGGTCTGTGAATCTCTGAGAACCCTCTCTGGCATCACTGGAATGGAGGAGGGCAGGTAGGAGATTAATCCAGGGCTCACGAGCAACAGCCCCACCCTCTCTGTCTCTCCTCTTTCTCAGGGATGGCTCTGAGAGGAGCCCAGGAGAGAGGGGCTAAAACACTGAGGCTGCCTGGGCACAGCCCACTCAGCCCCGCTGATGCCCCTGATGCTGGGTGAACAGCACCCAGAGAGGAGGCTGGGAATCGCCCGTTCCCACCAGCCCTGCTCTGGCTCTATCACCACTCAGACCCCACACTGGGCACAGAGGGAAAGGGTGGGCCAGAGGATGAGGGGCCACAGTCTCTACAGGAAACTTCCCCAGGGCGTGGCCCCTCCTGCTGTCCAAGGCAGCCCAGCTCTGCCCACCCACCCCTGCACCCCCAGGACCCGAGTCACCTGATCACTTTAGCAGCCCAGGCGCCCCCAGGGCCCCTCTGTGCAGCGTCATAGTTCCCGCGGGCATGGAAGTATTTGTCGGAATCTTTGTAATTGGCCTCTTTCATGTCAGAGTAGGCTCTCCACATGTCTTTAGCCCCTGGAAGGGAAAGAAAATGATGAGATAAAGGTGATCACATCTTGGCAAAAGAGAGAAATAAAAACTTTTCCTCCCACTGATTCTCAGATGTCATCCTTTGACAAAGCCCTTGGAGATGATATTGGCTTGAGATGGACGTTCCTTTACTTTTCACTCCCTGGTTAATGTGATGAGAGTCAGACCAGGTGCAAGTTTTATTCTGTCTCATTCCAAGATCTGTTGCTCCTTTGTTTTGGGCTGTGTGTGATGCGTGTGGGGAAGAGGTGGGATGGTCCTGAGGGGATGTGTGGTTGTACAATGAGCCTCTACCTGGAAAGATGCAGGGAACCCTCTGACCAGAGCCTGAGAACAAAAGTGACTCTGAGGGAGGCTGGGAACCCATGGTGCTCCCAACCTCATCACGGGATATCTTCATCCCTGTGGGCAGCGTGAGGACCACTCAGTCCTGAGTACATCTGAATGTCCGGGCACATTTGCACCTGGACAACTGTCAGAATTCAATTGGCAGGTGATAAAGGTGAGTCGCTAAGACAGCTTTAAAGAACCTGGGTGATCAGATGCAGACAAAGGGCAACTGACCCACCAGCTCTAAAGGTCAGTGTCATCCCAGTGAAGTGGAGGAGTGGGACCTCCCTCAGGTGGTTATGCAGAAGGACTGACAAGATACAGGTATAACTTCTAGGACATTCTACATGCTCAATATACCATCACCTCCATGGTCCTTGGGGAGGGTGGGATAAAAGGAAGAAAAAGAATGAACTAGGATGAGGGACAAAGACTTATTGACGGAAGAAATCTGATGAAACTAGAATAAAAAGGCAAAGATTATCTGATTAGGAAACAGAGAAAAACCTAACGTAGAGTTGTAATCTTAGTTTATGTACTATCCCCATGCAATAACTTATCTTCACTTTATGTCTTTATTATTTCTGGTATTCAGATGATAGTTGTGTTGAGAGCTATGACTTTCTTACTGTACTTATTCCCTCTGAGTTAGTGATTTAAATAGATCCTAGGAGTCCAGACTTGCATAATAAGTCCTTCCAAAATGCCTGACACATTTGGTCACTTGAGGGGACAGAACTGGAGGGAGTTGTTCTCAGCCTTTAGTGCACAACATCACCCAGGGGCCTTGGTAAAGGCCAGATTCCAGCTTAGCCGCGAGATTGTGACACATGGAGGGGAGTATGTGTACCGGGGCGTCTGCATTTCACAAAGCACCCAGACCCAGGGGATTTCATGTGGGTGGTCCTAGAACAACCTTTGAGAAACAGTGACCTAAGAGACCAAAAAATATTTTTAGCTGGGTCTGCGAGAATTTAGATATGATTAACAGGAAATTTTTAAAACAATTAATCAGTAACTGTCAAAAAATAATAAAATAATTTTGTGAAACGAACAAATTTTTGCCACTTGACTATTGCTAGTGAGGTAAATATCTCTTGCTCTCGGTTTCCTGGCCAGGTCTCAGCCCCACTAGAACCATCATCAGGAATTCATTGTGCCTTTTATCGTGGGGTGATGAGCCCTACAGAGTTGCCTTCCAAAGACACACATCCCTACTCCTGGCTGTTTGCTCAGATAAGAACAGGTGTGCGTTGACAAATCCCTCACTCTCCCAGGTGCACTCTTCTCGGGGAGGCAGGGTGGTACCTGGTTAATAGCCAGGTCTGGAGAGCTCCACCACCTGGGCTAAATCCTGCTCTGCTTTGGGACTTCCTTAGGTATCTGAATCTCTTTGTGTCTCCGTTTCCTTCTTAAGGGATAGTGGTGCCTACATCTCAGGATGAAAAGATTAAAACCTGAGGATGAAAACGAGTTCATTCGTCCATGTAAAGCTCTTAGAACAGTGCCTGGGACGTATTCAAAGCTCACTTTGGTTGTAATTACTAAGAGGATGGGAGTGGGAACACACCCCACACCTGTGATGCATCCACTTCATGGCTCCTGAGACAGAGACGTGAGCTGTCCCTGACTCCCCAGTAGGCGGCAGTAGAGCCCCACTCGTATTTAGGGAATGTGGCACCCCTGAACTCAGCTCTCCTCCTCACTGCTGTTGAAAGTTGGGGCCCAAACCTTCTGACCTTGGCCTGGTGATCCCCACAGATGAGTGCAAAGCTGCCCAGAAAAGCCTAGGAGTGGAGGGACAGGACAGAGGTTGTTAAGGTACAAACTTACCAGGAGTGGTAAATAAGGCCTAGAGATCTGATGCAGAGTACAGTGAATATAGACAGCAATATTGTGTTATAATCATCAAACTTGCTAAGATACTAGAACACAGTTATTCCAACTACTAAAAAGAAAGGATAATTATATAATGTGATAGATATGCTAATTACCACTACAATGGCAATCTTATTAAAATACATACAAGTATCAAATTAACTTTCTGTATGCCTTAAATTTACACAACGTTATGTGTAAAATACAGTTCAATAAAAAAAAAGCCTGGGGAACCATGAAAACCGTGTTCTTTTTCTACTCACTTGTGGCCTTTGCCCTGTGGGCATGTGGCCTCTGCTCAGGTGAATCCTGGGGGCAGTTGGTTGGGACCTCTCCCCACCCCCATCCTTTGGTCCTTACCTTGACCAGCTTCCCTGAGGAATGAAAAAAATCCTTGGCTGCTGACGCCCAGGACCAGGGTGCAGAAAATGATGCCGATGGAAAACTTCATCCTGCTGCAGAGTCAAGGAGACACACAAGGGTGACACGTGTTTGGTTTTGTTTTTTTCGGTGAGTAAAGTTGACCCATTCTGGTATTTCAAAAATAAACCACACTCAATTTTATATGCACCTGTACCTATATATTTATATCTCTGTACACACATATATACATATATATACACACATACCTAAATATGTGTATACAGTCAGATGATAGCTAGATAAAATTTCAATGAGCCCAGTTCTCCGTTTCCATTGTCTCATTGGAATCCCGGTGATTTACTGGATGAAGATTGCGATGGGCTTTTAGAGTAAATCATTTTCCATTTCAATCATTCCCTATCAGCTCTGAAACCCACAGTAGAGAAAGTTCCCAGAGAGGCATTTGGAGATTTTGTGACCACACGCCTCTCTGTAATGTGAGATGAGTTAAATTCCACAATATTCGCAGAAGCCTGCTCTACCCATCACTGACTCCACACAGAAGAAGCATACAACAGAGTCCCTCCCCCAAAGCATTCACATCTGGTGAATTCTGATTGTCAGAACAGGAGACTCAGGAAGGAGGTAGAAAGCAGGGATGCAGAACAAGGATGCTGGTGGGAAAAGAGAATCTCCAAAGAGGAAAGCTGCTGGAAAGTTCTAGCACCTCACCTGTGGCTGTCCCTTCCTGCTGGGCTCCTGGTGAGCTGAGCTGCCTGTGCTGCCCGCCTGGGAGATCTGTGTGGTGCTATATATACTGACACTTTGCTAGGGGAACGAATGGGAACACGGGTGTGAGGCAAAAAGAAGAAACTTGGGAAATTCGTCTTGGGCAGAACTCAGCATCCAGAATATCAGGGTTATTTTTCACACACATCGAATTTTCCCAGATTGTGCAATCTGGCAGCTTTCAGGGTGTAGCAAGTTGGATTTTCTGCCCGTTTCCAGCGTCATCCCTGTTGGGGACAGGGTTTTTACCCCACACAATTATGTACTGACATTTGTTGGGTAGGGTCACCAATATTAGAAAAGAGATTTGATTAAAGAATGTAAGAGTACAGGGCAAATGATCCAGCCGAACAAGCTTCATGGGACAGCTCAGGACGAAGCTGGGACCCCAGGGCACGGGGGTAGGAAAGGGAGAAGACTGCCCAGGAAAATAAAACCCTCAGCACCCTCGTGGGTGGACTCAGCACTGGAAAAGGGAGTCCTCCAGACTCGGGTGTATTCACCCTCAGTTGCTATTGAAGGTCATAATGGCAGGTCATATCTGGAGGACGCTGTAACCCAGGAACAGCATAGAAATTTGCTCCAATGTTGTGTAGAAATAACACAGCATAAAATGAGCAGGAAATGGCCAACCAGCTGCCAAATTATCAGCATAGAAGATTCAAGAAGGATGCAGAGAAAGCTGGGATGCAGCACAAGGACGCTGGAGGGTGTGATGATAGAGAACAGCTGTTTCAACCAGGAAAGCAGGACCAGGTTTTACTATGTGAGTTTAGTAAGATAGTCTTGGGGAGAAATTGTGTGCAGGTGCTGTCAGGGGGATGCTGTACATGGTACCCCCGAGAAGAAAGATGATGTGTGTGTAACATGGCAGAAGTGATGGGGGATCCAGGGGACAAACGTGGTCCTTCTCTCAGTGGGACCCTGGGCTGGAGCCTGAGGACCTCGTAGGGCAAGTAAGGACCAGCGCAGGGAGTACCAGCTCAGGATTTGTGCCTGGAGTGTTTCTGGGAGACAAGGAACGTGAGCAGTGCATTGGAGATACTAGGGAAGGAATCTCCAAGACTGATGCAAGCACATCACGGAGACTTGTTAGCCGAGGTGTTGGAGGATGGAAACAACAATCATGAAGGACGGGGTCCTTGTACTCCACTAGTAACCCAGAGAAGAATGAGGAGGAAGGACTCTCAGTTTGTTACAAGATTAGAGGAACTATGGGTAGGACATTCGAGAGATGAGCGGTGACCCAGGATGAAGTAAGTCAAGCAAGGATTACACTACTATTTGGGAATCATTGTCTTAGATTAGAGCCTGCCAAAATCAGGAGTGATGGCTCTTTCTGGGCCTGGGTCATATTTTAATTCTTGTAGGTACATGAGATGAAGGTTGTAGGGCAGATATCTGTCCCTTTGGTTCTTATAAAGGCAATGCTAAGCAAGATTCTCATATTCCACAGACAATTTTCTTCCTTCGGAAAAGTGGGATTCCCCGTGTGTGGGTAGTTAGGGTCTCTGAGCTGGCTTGGCCCACTTGGTCTTATGAGTAGACATGGTGGGGAGGGGAGTTGTCCACCCTCCACAGCCATTGGTCACAAGTGTGCTGGGGGCTGCTTCATTGAGGAGGACATGTGATCCAGACCCCTTTTCCTACTTT